CTAATTCAGACCCTGGGGGAGAGGCAGACGGATCCAGGGGGTCTCCATCAAGGAAGGAGCGGTGGTGGAGCCTAAGACGTGTAAATAGGGAAGGGGCGCGGCCTCTGTGTGGTCAGGGCAGACCCCAGGGGTCACGGACTCACCTTCCGCATAATCTTCCGGCCATAGAACAGCACTTTGTCCCTCTTCCGGAACCGATACCGGGGGCCATCCGGGGCTGGGGTTTCTGGGGATAGGTGGGGACAGGGGCACTCCGAGCTCTGGGCAGACTCCACCCTGCTAGAGCTGGGGTACCGCGAACAGACGCCAGCAAATCCCCATCTCTGCCGCCTCGGGACCCGGGCATTTGGGCTCCCCCACCACACAGCCTCCCAAGAGGGGCCCCTCGGGTGCTCACTTGGCACTCGCAGCCTCCGCACCACCAGGAGGATGAGCACGGCCGTGACCACCACCGCCACTCCTGCCCCGATCATCACGCCCAGCACCTGAGGGACAAACGGCACTGGCTGCGCACCGCAAATCCGTCCAGCCGAGACTTCCCCGGGCTCCGGGACGTCCTGGAACCCATCCCTCTCCCCCACCTTCGCCCCCGAGGAGTTAGTAGCCAGCCCGTGACTCGATGTCCCCATCTGCAGAATGGGCCAGTGCTGCTCCCTCCCCGGGGGCGCGACTCTTCCCTGAGGCCCGGCGGCCCGCAGTGCATGCCGGGAAACGTAGTTCCGCCCAAGCGGACGCAGCGTGTTCTCGCCAGATCATGTAATGCGCGCTGAGCACGCCGGAAGTTGTAGTCCCCGTGGCGCGCCACGCCCGCGCCTACCCGGTCCCCGCCCCACCCCTTACCATTCCAGTTTGCAGCGGAGCCTCCATCGGTTGATTCCAGCTGGACTGCCGATCTGGTAGCCCGTAGTCCTGGGAAATCAAGGAGTCGAAGGAACCCGTGCAAGTCGTCAATCTGGGCCCGCCCCTCCCCTGCCTCAAGCCCTGCCCCCAGCTTAAGCCCCGCCCCCGGGGGGGTGAAGCGTCTCCACCTGCCAGGGGCGCGGCTAGAGGGGCTCTGCGGGACTAAGGAATGGAGCAAACGGACCTCCCGGCCCAGGCCAGGAGGTGAGGCGAGTCCCCGGCTCCCTTCGCCTACGCGTAGGGCCTACCAGACGCTCCGCCCGTCCAACCCCACCCCGGGGCCAAAGGCCGACCTGGCACCGACTGTCAGCAGCCTGAAGGCAGGTCCCCGCTGGGCACGGTCCCCTGCACCTGGTGACTTCCTCCCGGGTCACTGCCCTCTGCGTTACTGATCAAGCCTGATCACCCGACCCTCCAGGCCGCACTCCCTACTCCGTCGAACACCGAATGCCCCACCCCAGGAAAACTGGGGCCCGCAAGCCGTGGGGTCCGGGGGTGGGGACCTAGATACCCAGCTCCCGACCCAAGCCCGCCCCCGGGAAGACCCAGGAGCTGGGAGGCACGGGACTACTGTCGGGGCATCCGCAAAGGCGTCTGATACCCACGTTTCAGAAGAGTCCTGGGATGCTTGGTGTGGTGTGGGCTTGCAAGGCGCTGCTGGTTTTTGCCAGAGATTTACTATCACGTAGTAGTGAAGTTATGGGGGCTCTATGGCACGGAGCATCACTGGGACTCCGGGACCGATGGTGGCGCCATTGCTGGGAGGCGTAACCAGAGACGCCGGAATTAGTGGGTGGGGATGGGGGGGTCACTGGAAAGTTACTGAGAGATTCTGAGGATTACAGTACTACTGCTGGGAAAACCAGGAGGTGGGTGGGCACATTCCTGGGGTGCTTATGAGAGCGGGCCTGGGGAGGGCGTGCGGGCTCCTTGGAAGTTACTGAGAGATGCTGGAACATTACTGGGATTTTTCTGGGAAGCTGAGGATGTTTCTGACACCGCTAGAGTATTAATGGGAATTCGGGGGCCGGGGGGTAGGAATCTCGGAGCCTGCGAGTCGTTACTTGGAAAATTCCTGGGTGGCCTGTCCTCTTTCACCCCAGGGCACACCTGGCTACCGGTGCAGAAACACCTGCCGGGACGTGGGGGGATGGGAACATCAGAAAGTCTAGAGTTAACAGAAATCGGAGGACAGATGTGGGAAAGCGGAGGCTCGCCAATGACCCTCGAAGGGACACCCCTGCGAGGCCAACGGAAACTCGGACTCACCCAGGGGCGGCAGCCGGGGTCCACTCCGTGCCAACACCGCTAGCGTTCCGCCCGATTCCGCAGGCGCGGTCCCTTTAAATTATTCACTACAAGGCGCACAGCGGTCCCGCCCCGCCCTCCCCCTCCCCACCCGCGCCACACTTGGAAGGCCGACTGAGGCCGCCATGCTGAGTGCGGCTGAATGAGGCCTTAAAGGGCCTCACACGGCTTAACGCAAGGACTGCTCCTCCCGCTAAAAATGAGAACGACACATTTATTTTCCCTTTTATTCAACACCCTCCCCACCCTGTCTCCCCGCCCCCAAAGGTCCGACACGAAAGGTCCAGGCCCTCCTCGGGCGCGACAGGGAGCCGATCCTTAAAAGCAAACCCTAAAAATAAATAAGCGGGGTGGGGGGCGGGGGTCTCCGCAGTCCAAGGCCTATGGTCCAATGGCAGTCAGGTCGAATCAATTCACCAGCAGCGAATGCTCCTCCGAGGGGTCCCTGGAGGAGGGAAGCAGGGATGAGGGGCGTCAGTTTTCTCTGGCTTGCTCCCCTTTCCCCAGTCCCTAACCCCCAATCTGAATGGGCCAGACTCGGGACTCGAACCTTCCGCAGCAGCAGAGAAGGCTGCAGGCTGAGCCGCTCCCGCGGCGGAACTTGCCAGAGGTGGGGCTGTCCTGGCACTGTGCGATGTAGGCCTGCAGCTCGCTCTCCTCTGCGCCTGCGCCGCCAGGATGCTGGGGAGAGAAGCTGGGAGGCTCAGCCTGAAAGTGGCTCCCCACCTCCAAGGCCCTTGAAGTCCGCCCTCCCCTCCAGCCATATCTGCATCGCTTCCCACCTCCAGGCCTTTGCACTTGCTGTGCCTGCTCCACCTGTTGTTCCATAGTTTGCTTGCACAGAGAGACCTTCCCTGACCCCTGAACGTGGACGCAAGCTGTGTCTTTGCCAGTCTGGTGCCCTCTGCTGTGGGTCCAGCAGCTGGAGACCTAGAGCCAGGGCTGACACGACCTCGGTGGTCAGAAACCATCTATTGAGAGAGCTGGATGCACACTAAGCACAGCCGTGGGAGCAGGACCTGAATCTGCCCACCAGAGTGGATGCCTGTGTGTGATGTCTATGTGCTAAGGCAAGACAGGAAGTAGCTCCAAGGGCCTGAGTGAATGTCTGTGGAACAGCTGAATCCATGCCTGGGAAAAGGGGGTGTACCCATCTGCTGGTGACATTGGATGTGGCAGGGGACCAGCCAAGGTTTCCTTCCTCTCACTCAGCCTCATGGAGGGACCATCTTTTCTCCAAGTTTTTTCAGGCTACTAGACCTTTGCTTTAGCTATTCCTTCCCCCTGGGTGCACTGCCCCTGGGCTCCCAACTCTTTGGTCTAGAGACGATGGAAGTGTTCAATATCTATGCTGTCCAATATGGCAGCCACCAGCCACACTGGCTTTTGAGGACTGGATACACGATGGTGCGAGTCAGGGACTGAATTTGCAATTGTGCTTCATTTGAATTAAAATTTTTTAAAAATTGTTTTGTTTTGTTTTTGAAGCAGAGTCTCGCTCTGTCGCCCAGGTTGGAGTGCAGTGACTTCATCTCGGCTCACTGCAACCTCTATGTTCCGGGTTCAGGCAATTCTACTGCCTCAACCTCGGGAGTAACTGGGATTACAGGTGCGTGCCACCACGTCCGGCTAATTTCTTGTATTTTTAGTAGAGATGGGGTTTTGCCATGTTGGCCAGGCTGGTCTCGAACTCCTGACCTCAGGTGATTCACCCACCTCTCGGCCTCCCAGAGGGCTGGGATTACAGGCGTGAGTCACCGTGCCCAGCGGGAATTAAAATCAAAATTTAAATAGCTGCATGGGGCTAGAGACTAGTGATGGATAGAACATTCGAGAAGCTCTCCTGGACCCACTCTCATACCAATCTAAAGCAGGAGTCCCTCTGTAACTTTCCACTCTTCCATCATACCTGTTACAAGTAGGTCATTGGTCATGGGATGTCTGTTCCTGTGCCATCCTTGCCCACAGGCCTCGGACAGATCATGCACACCTGATTTTCCTCGATGCCCAGAACCCAGCACAGATCTTGGCCCTTGGATATATTTGCTGAAAGAATCCTATCTACCTGCCACTTCCGCATCCTGCTGTGTCCCCTGACCCTTGCAGCTTGCAGGGAAACCACTGTTCCCAGCCACCCTACTAAACAGAGGACACAGGGGTTAGGAGCATGGCTTCTGGAATCAGACAGTCCTGGGTTGAGCCCATTTTTACTGCTTAGAAGCTAACCTGGGCCAGGCACGGTGGCTCACGCCTGTAATCCCAGCACTTTGGGAGGCTGAGGGGGGTGGATCACCTGAGGTCAGGAGTTTGAGACCAGCCTGGCCAATATGAAAAAACCCCATCTCTACTAAAAACACAAAAATTAGCCAGGCATGGTGGCGGGCGCCTGTGATCCCAGCTACTCAGGAGGCTGAGGCAGGAGAATCGCTTGAACCGGGGAGGCAGAGGTTGCAGTGAGCTGAGACTGCATCATTGCATTCCAGCCTGGGCAACAGAGTGAGACTCCATCTCAAAATAAATAAATACATAAAGAAGCTAATCTTGGGCGGGGTCAGAGGGAGTCAGGGGCATGGCTGGGGGCTGGGGTCAGGGTGGGGGTTTTAGAGGTCAGCCGTAGGAATGGGGCCAACTGAGGGTCACCATGTTAATAGCAAGGTCCCAGGGTCAATGACAAGGTCATTGAAACTCTTATGACTTAGCCGGGTGCAGTGGCTCATGCCTGTAATCCCAGCACCTTGGGAGGCCAAGGCAGGTGGATCACCTGAGGTCAGGAGCTCGAAACCAGCCTGGCCAACGTGGTGAAACCCCATCTCTAGTAAAGATACAAAAATTAGCCAGGTGTGGTGGCATGTGCAAGTAATCCCAGCTACTCAGGAGGCTAAGGCACGAGAATCGCTTGAACTCAGGAGGCAGGGTTGCAGGGAGCCGAGTTCATGCCACTGCACTCCAGCCTGGGCCACAGAGTAAGATTCCATTAAAAAAAAAAAAAA